CCCGCCACCGGGCCTTCCCTGCACCCCCGACCCCGACTGTGCATCCTCCACCAGAGCTACTAAATAGAGGGAGGAAGGAGGAGGGAAGGTCGTCTTTCTCAGGATCGGAGTCATTCGTCCGTGCGGGGGAGGCCAGCCGTGGCGTGGCGGTGCACGTCCCCTCCGAGCCCCGCCCTGCCTGCAGAGCCGTCATGTTCTCGAATACGTTGTGTTACACCTCTGCCGTGGCATGCGGCGTGGTCTCTGTGGCCTTGGCTGCTTAGCCCGAGGGAAGAAGAGAGAGGCAAGGAGAGCGAGGGAGAGAGAGTACACTCTAACACACTCCAAATGGGTATAAATGACGATTTTGTACCAAGTTTAGACGTGTCCTTGTGCACATGTAAATGAGAAACAAAGTCGCCCCTTTTTATGTTAGGGACATAATGGAGCATTACCTGGTGTCTCGGTTCAACTGGTACCTCATTATAACGACACATATGCAGATGGGAAACCTAATGCGCTGCGCTCTAGTGTTTTTCGAGTTTGTCTACACCGTCTACACCCTTCATGGCCCCTACAGCCGTAGCGAACAAGCAACACCCGGTACTGAAATATTGTCCCTCGCCCGTTTGTAGTTTGAAAGGACGCAGAGCAAGGTAGGGGGAAGCGCATTGTGGGCGTCCGCAGGAGGACAGGAGCGGAGCGTCGCTGTCAGGTGCGTCGTGCGGCCCTACGGGTCCTACCCTCGGGCATCACGTCACGGTTGGCGGCGCGCTCGCCCCGCCGCACACCCTCCCCCCTCGAGCAGGTGAGGTGAGGTGCAGGAGCTGGGCTGGACTGGGCTGGGTGCGCACCCCTGCGCCGCCGCCCCTCGCGAGGTGAGCTGAGGTGGGTGATGGCATTGTCCCGTCCGAGCCGACCGGGCCAGGTGATCCCCCGCAATCCCGCCCGATCCCTGCGTCCGAGGGGAAGATCAAAAGCATTTCGATCTGATGGCAACGCCTACGCAGAGGAGAGGGATGGGGTGGGGTTTGAGGGGGGGGGGGGATTCCTCCAAAGGCCTTGCCTTTTACGTCCGCCTCGCTGCAGTGGAAGAAAACACCTTCGCCGCTATATCATCAGCGACGACGTCACCGTGCTCTCTGTTGCCAGAGGACGCTGCCTGCCTCACCTGTTGGGAGGGTGGACTGTGGAGTATTTGTATACCGAGGGCGCTTACCTGACGCAGCATAAAAGGGGGACCGCTTCAAAGGAAAAAACAGTCCTCCCAAAAAAATCTGTTTAGGAATGTGCTATTTGAGTTGACGTTTAGAGGTGGCGGATTTTCAGCTTAGTGAAAAATGGTTATTAATAACTCCCGTTGGTTACCAAGTAGTCGTGGTGGAGATCGAAGAGGAAGTACCCACCCCAAAACCGTAAATTCTCGCTACGAATCGTATCACAACGACCTGAGCGATGGGGCAGACACCCTAGAGTAGAGCTGCTGATGGAAAACACCGGCACGCTCAAAGAAACGCCCTTGTGCAGCAGCATGAGGTGCCGATGAGGTGCAACGTCCTGGTCACGCGTGACATGGCAACACGAGGAGTGCATCACCAGACCCAGGACACCCACACCCAGGGTCAACTCTAGATAATCAAGTTGGACAGCCGCTGGTCCCGCGGCAGTGCCCTGGTGAGGTGCCCTGGCGGTTGGCGTTGCTCTGGTGGTGCCCAAGTGGTGCCCCGCCTCCCACGGGCACGGCTCTGCTCTCCTCCGAGTCGAGTGGAGTGAAGTGACGCGGCTCGCACGCGGAGCAACGACCCCGCGCACCTCCAGCCGCTGCAGGACGCCGGCCGGCCGCCCACCACACTCCCGGCGCTCTCTCTCTCTCGAACGCGAGTCATATCTTTCGTTTCACGCGCCCTCACGACGCGACCGTAATTTCTTTTCACTTATTCGCGCGTGTAGTACGTTGGCACTCCCCCCCCCGCTCCGGCCTTGTTGTCGACCAATAACTGGAAATGAGGCTCTGCGCTGCTGGAAAGCCGCGACGGTAGAAGCGGCCGGCGTTCCGGGGAATGCGAGAGCGCGCGCCACACTGCTCCGGCCATTGAATCGCCTGTAACGGCAGCAAACATAACGCCCGTCATGTTGGAGGCGGGGGCGCCACAGCACGGATAAACTCAGGTGTTTGGGAAAAACCAGCAAAGCGTGACCACAATGTGGACACGCTGCATACACCGTGTTCAAAATGGTCATCAGGGATCGGTTGTTCTGAAGACGAAACGCAGTGACAGAACAAAAACGAATTTATTGGTTTCTCTCGCGTTTCTCCAACGACAGGTCCGTCACTGGGTGAAAATCCGGGAATGGGACAGCCGATTACAGTATCCAGCTACACTAGAACTTTTATTGCGTCTATCCTATAGTTAGCAAATCAATTAGTTTCTGCGAAATCTAACCCCTTCCTATCATTTTAATACCTATGGCGTCTGCCTAGCGGAAGGAGTGAAGTATGTAACAGAGGACTGCGGATGTCGTCCGCGCGCCGCATGAATGAGAACAGCCGGCCGGAAGTCCGGGGGCCTGACCGGCAGCAGCGGCCGAGTGGCCAGATCCGCGTCACATCCCAACGGGACGCCCCCCCCCCCTCTCCACTCCGCAACGCCAGGCCCCGGAATGTGGCGCGGATGACACGCCCCCATTGTTATGATTTGGTCCTTACGGTGCGCGGTGCGCCTGGAATGCGACAACACACCGGCCGCCGCGCCGTTCGGTCGCCGTTCAGGCGCTTTACACCGCCAGCGCCGACGCCTCGGCCGACGCCGAACGGCGGTAGGATTTACGTGGCCACCGCGCTTTCACAGAGGGAAGCTCAAGCTGTAGCTCCGGGTCGTGGGAAAATGAAATGAATTTTAAAACACGTTGTGGGGCCAAACTTCCATCATCCTCGACTCATTCTGTTCAGATTCCAGAGCGAGCCGAGCCTAACCGTTTGTGAGTGAACGTGACTATTACGGAGTCGTGTTTCCGTGACTACCGCCGTCGCTAACGCGATTAGGGCCCTCGCCTCTGGTTCGCGCCCAGCACAACCCCACCCTGGTCCCGCACCCCGCCGCACCCCGCCCCGCCGCGCAGAGAGAATTCCTCAGCGGATTACGTTCTGGTGTCGCCGTCCGAGACTTTATCAGTGCAAGGACGGCGCGACACACACACCTTACCTTCTTCTTGCTGCCCCTGCTGTCCCTGCTGTCCCTGCTGTCCCTGCTGTCCCTGCTGCCCCTGCTGTGCCATGCTGTTGCACCTTGCGGACTGGTGGCGCTCTCCTAGCGCTCTCGGCAGCACGTATTTCACAATGCCACCATAAATCTGGTGCCATTTTACCTTTCCGCATTAGTGCAAGCCCCGGTCCGACCCCCCGACCACCCGCCCGTCCCCTGGCGCAGCCGACCCCAGCTCCGTTCAGGGGGCGTCAACAGTTTGGCTGCGTGCGGACAAAAGGGCTCTTGTTTCGCTGTCAGTCAAAACGCTAACTAGGCTGACCGGCCCCCGGAGGTGTCTGCAGGTGCACTGCCCGGCAGGATATTGACAACACCAGTGCCAAACACCAATCAAGCCTTTTCTCGCAAGGATACATCTTCCGCTGTAGGTGTCAGGTGTGCTTCTGTATCGGACTGGCGTCCCCCGTCGCCCGCCCCTCGGCAGA